CTTTGTGGGGGGGGGGGGGGGGGGGGGAGCGCCCCCCGCCACTGTGCACACCCCGGGAGGGCACAGTGGAGGGGAGGGGCATGTGCCCCTGGGTCTGCATGGAGTGGGGTGGGCTGCAGCTGGGGCTGGGGGCTGCACTGGGTGCTTCCCAGCACAGTGGGGAGGGGCTGGGGAGCACTGCTGCCGTCTGCCCCAAGCGCAGCCTGGGCCAGCCCCTCCTCTCCCCCCACATTGGGAAGAGCCCAGTGCAGCCCCTGGCCTCAGCCTGCAGCTGCACCCCACCCTGTGCAGACCTGGGAGCATATGCCCCACCATGGGAGCATATGCCCCACCATGCCCTCCTGGGGTGTGTGCAGAGGCGGGAGCCATGTCCCCTCCCTGTGTCCCCCAGATGAGCCGTGGCTCTGTCCCATGCCCTGTGCCCTGTCCCGCCTCGGCTGAGCAGCACTTACCCCGGCCTCACTCGCTCCCTCACTGTGGGGGGTGTTGATCTGCCCCCCACGGCCCTTCCCTCCCCTTGCAACTTCCACCACGACAGACTTACCAGCTGCACACAGCTCTCCAAGCTGCCAGGCTGTGATCCTCGTTGCCTGCGTGCTGTGCAGCAGCTGTGTGCATGCACAGGCATTTATTGTCCAAATTTTTGGCCACATCAGGCCAATTTCTGATATAGTCAATTTTCTTTATATTGGTTCTGGTTTGATGTTGGACTGATGTATCAGTGGGAGTGGCAAGGGTTTTGCAGTCAAAAGTAAGCCTCAGTACAGTTACCTATCTGCTACTTTATGTAAAACTGGTGGGATCCCAGCCTGGCATCAACAGCAGCAGAGACCACCTTCCATGGATACCTCAGTTAGTGCAATGACCAAGCCGATGTCACAGAGCTGCACAACTTCATCCTAGGGCTACTGCTGTCACCCTCTGAGTTCATGGAGTGGAATTAAAAGTCATTGCATTTGGGGCCCATTTTGTTTGGATCTAGGGATGCCTTACATCATTATTCTTAATAAAAGTCCCTCATCTGTGCTGAGCAGGGCATGTGCCCAGAAAGCTGGGGGTGTCTCATCCTTTCCAGTACATCCAATCAAACTGGAATACCATGGCATCCCAGCCAGGCTGGGTCAGGGACTGGGCACAGATTTCATTTTTCTCTCTCCTCCTCAGGTCCCCTAATTAATCCCTTGCCACCTGTTTTGCTGTGTTGCAATAGAAGTATCCAAAATATATGGGCCAGGTTCTGCAACCCTCATGCACCCTGAGCAGAACCATACTCCTTGCATAGTTCTGCTGAGCTGAGGGATGCTACTCATGGAGTGAGTAAGGGAGGTAGAATTGGGCCCTACTCTGTAGCTGTTCTCACCTTAGTTCTGTTAATTCCCTCTCCTCGGCACTGCAATCAGCAGCACTTCTGTGACTTCAACTATGGAAGTTACCATCTGCAATGTCTGTTGTATAGTATTGTTGTGGGGCTACGGGAGGCTGTTAAAACTGCTGCCTCTTCCCCCCTTACACAAGGCCGATATTCAGGGAATTGGGTGTTATCCCTATTAGCCCAGGTGGGAAGCGCTGTGGGGTCCTCCAGGATGGAATGATTGTGTAGCTGCCCCATCACTGTCATGATCTGGTACCAACCACCCTGTGACAGAGGAAAGAAAAGGCTGTCTCTCCAGCCAGTGGCCCAGACAGGATCATGGCTATAGGTATGCTCAGTCTGCTGTGCTCCATCTCTAGAGTGCTCTGCCACCTGGAATTGCACACTGATAATTCACATTTAATGTTGATGAGAAAGCAGGTTAAAATTAAACCTGCCCATTACCCTCTTCTTTTTTTTTTTTGCATGACAACCTCATAGGGCAGAGACTGCCTTTTCCTAGCCCCCATGCTGTGTCCCTTCCCTAGCTGGACAGTGATCAATGAGAACAGGAGCGCTTAAGTTTGAAGCATCCCATAGGATGGTATCACTCTTAAGGTGACCCTCAGCAAAGCCCCGGAGGGTAGTGAGGGTCTGTGTGTACAATCTTTGCTACTGCTTCCTGCTGTGCATGGAAAGGGGCCTCTCTGCAGGGAAGATCCCTATGCCAGTGGCTTAGAATTTGAGATGGAAAGAAAATAAACTAGGAAGCATGGGCGCTGCCTTGAGTAGTGCAGGTTCAGCCCCAGTCCTGCACAGCCGTGGCTGAGGCAGGTATTCCCTTGGGGACCTTATCTGGCAATTGGAGATCCTCACCTCCAGATGTCATATGGCCTTGTACCACAGCTGCATCCCCTGAATGGCAGGTTTGGAGCAGGCTCCCTGCAGACCCACCGGGCACTAGAGAGCCCCACTCCATGCCACTGGCTAGACTGTGTCTCCTCTGCACAAGCCAGCATCATCCTCCCCTAGCAAAGGGCTGGAAACATCTCTGACATTACTGCCATGTCAGAGGAAGTGCACATCTTTGTTCTCTACAACAGCAGGATCCTAATATGTGATGGGAATGCAGATGAATGAAGATGATAAAAAAGAAATCTGACACAGCCTGTTGGTAAAAGCAAAGATATTCTCCATACTGATCGGGACTTTGTAGCCTAGAGAAGAGGAGGTTGAGAAAGGATTTGACAGCAAACTTTTAAAAAAAATGTTATAAAATGGTGATCAATTGTCCTCAATGTCTCTGACAAGACAGAACAAGCAGTAAAAGGTTTAAATTGTAGCAGGGGTAATCTAGGTTAGACATGAGGAGAAACCTTCTGACCAGGAGAGTAGTGAAGCCTTGCAAATAGGTTGCACAGTCTTCATCACCGGAAGTTACTAAGTCCAGGTTAGGTAAGCGTTAGTTCGAGAGGGTTTAGACCAAGCTGCACAGGGGTGTTGGTGCATCCCCAGTTTCACAGGATTAGTTTTCCTCACAACCCGAACAAGGCCTACTTAGAAGGTCACTTTGGGATAGCTGGGGGGCTGTAACTAAGGGGCATGGGCAGAACTGTAGGTATGTGGAGCCCAGGGCTAAATCAGTTGAGAAGTTGGGTGCATCAGCAGAGCAGGATGCTGGCAGTTAGCCCGTGACCTGCCTGGCTCTCAGAAGCATGATCAGTCTCTCAGTTCTATAAGCACTAATATTTATCGTTTCCCACCTCCTCCTCCCTGCCTTTGGATGCCTCTGAAAGCCCTAATGGGCTTTGGGGCCAGACTGGCCCCAGGGATACTCATAACTCCTGAGGTGCTGGCCACAAGAGTGCAAGGAACAGAGCAGGGGAGAACAGTAAATTGCTGAGCAGGAGCACTGCCGAGGGGATAATGAGTCTGGCAGCCATTCAAACGCTGTGTAGAAGGGCAAATGAAGATCAAAGGCAAGAGGAAGGCAGGATGGAGAGGGTGGTCAGTAATTGGGCATAAAGGTTGGGCTTCTCTGAAAGGTCAGTCCCTGTGGGTGTCTGCCAGACAGCGGACAGTCCAGCCCTCTGTTAATCTGCTGAGCAGGCTAAGAGCAGCCAGCTCTAAATTAACCCTGTCACCCACTACTTGAGGGAAAGATCTTGCTTCAGCAAAAATGTTTTCTGCCATTGCTGTTTCTCTTAGCCACCTTAAGCAAGGGGATAAGAACAATGGGCACTCAAGAGGGGAAGAAGGCTAGGAGGGCCTGAGCAGGTGATGAGCTTTGTGCTGGGCATTGACATCTGCTAGGAGCAAGGTTGAGAACCATTAAACTCATTTCACTGGTGGCTTGCGCTGTTAGTTGGAGCAGCAATCCAGACCACACAGCCTTGCATACTATATCCTCCAACAGGATGCCCAGGGTCAGAGGCACAGTCAGAGAGACAGATGGTTCACCCTCTCCCTGGTCCATGTTCTGCCTCGCAGCACAATCTGATCACTGGGTCCTCTTCGTCTAACTTCCATACTCCAGGGATTCTGTGGAAGGAACTAATCCATCTCTGAGGCTGCCCCAGGGATAAGTTGGGGCTTGAGTGCCCTGTCTCAGCAGATGCCTGGTTCTGAAGTGGCACCTCCTGCCTGCTTGCCTCTCAGGTCCCTGGTGGAGTGCATTGTATACTCCCATTGACTTTTTGATGTAATCCCATTAGTCTCAGGCTGTTTCTGCCTGTGTATCCTTCCTGGCGCCCAGGAAGGGTGGCTCTGGTAGGGGGGATGGTGTGGCTTTAAAGTCCACTTCCTGGACCTTTGGACAGCATCTAACTTATTTACAGCTTCATTCCTTGCAGAAAAAAGAGTGGACCTGGGATGAGAGCAAGATGTTGGTGATGCACGATCCTATCTACAGGTAGGGCCATCTGCAGGTGGCAAGAAGTTCCAGTGAGCTCTGACATGCATCCCCCAGTGGCCGTGCGGGCGGGCAGATTCTGTGTGCTCTGACATGTAGTTGCTACAGTGCCCGGGGCACAGGAAGCAGGGCTGGGACTGACACACAGGCCACCTAGCAATCTGGGGCTTGCAATTCTCGTGAATTCTGACATGCTGCCCACCCAGTGACCTGGTGGCATGCAGCTGCCCTGAGCTCTGCCCTGCAGCTCATGGGAGCCTCAGACATAGAAATCAGTGGAGGATTCTTCTGTGTGCAAAACCTGGATGTTCAGAAGCCAGTTTCCCCAGCAGAGCTGCCTCCCTTGCAGCTCTAGCAATGCTGCCTGTCAATTCTATGTTAGGGCAGGAGAGAACTTGCTCCCAGCTCCCGCTGGGTTGCCAGGAGACTGTATTTTAATCCAGCCATGTATTTGTGAGCAATACATAGTCTGCTCTATCTGGGCCTCCCAATCCATGATCCCTGAGCTATAAGTCTTCTTGTATCATATCAGCACAGAGGGATGTCAAGGCAGAACCAGCAGTTACAGGCCCCAGCTATGGGAGTCCTGCTGAGTCAGCAGAAAGGCTTGCTTGTGTCTTGGCTGCAAGGTCCAGTCTGTCTCACTAAAAAGCTTCTTAACTGTCCAGTCCAGTCCCTCCCTATGAAGCTGTCCTCAGATCCAGAGTCCTCTGAAGAGGGGACTGGGTTTCAGATGCCCCTTCTAGACACTGTTGGCTGCATTCCCTTGGTATGTTGTGACGCCACTGCCCATCTGAACCCAAGAAGACATTTCATTTTCTGAGCTGCAGATGAAAGGTATTGGTCAGTGAACAATTTGTCTCTCCGTGGCATTATTGGCTTTTTGCTATGGGTGGAGAGAGGGGAATCTTGGCAGCTTCTTTGCAAAGCAAGGCTGTGCAAAGCACACCCCTCTGCAGGGCACACTCACATACCCTGAGCACCTGGTCAATGCCAGCATGTGGCCCCTGAGCAAGCCAGGGCATCCACCCCCTCCCAGCTCCTACCCTGTGTGACAATGTTCTGGAGACTAGTGAGCCCAGAGCATGATAGCAAGGGCAAATGGGAACTTCCCCCTACAGCAAGGCTAACTTGGTTTTTGGATCGGTACAGAGCCCAAGGAAAGGACTAGCTTCCCGAGTTTCTAGTAGAATCACATTGTCTCTGGTCAGAGCCAAAGAGTGAGTGAGAAGGGTGAGAGCCTGTGAGCTCCAAGCCTCACATTCACTTCTCAGGACTGGCTGCCAGCAGTCCGCCCCTTCAGGAGAAGGAGGCCTTGCTTGGGTCACATCAGGGCAGACCCACTCCTACTCCCTGGGAGCTGGATTGGAGCCAGGCACTGCTAAGCCCCTTTTAATGAGCCCAATTAAGAGAGGGCAAACCACTCTCCTGTGCAGGGATTAGTTGCCCTCTGTTCCCCCTCCAGACCTGTCAGGGAATCTGAGCAGCATGCGACTCCAGTGGGTCTTCACCTCTCAGGAGCCTGACCAGCCTGGCGCAGCAGCTCAGTCATGGAGCTTCTGGCCATGCTGGAGCCTTTAGGAGTGACTGAAGAAAGGGGATGCTCTGCAAGTCTCCTGCTTTTCTCACATCCTCTCTCACAAACTCCACCAGTTACCATGCACAAGGCCATTCTCAGGTAGAGCAGTTAAAGTGCCAGCTCATCGGTAGCTGGCTACCTTGGGGAACCTCCTGAAACATCCAGGTCCCATGCCCACCCGCTAACCCACTGGGGTTCTTTCCCACTGACTCTGCCCACATTGGGAGCTTTGAGTGGGGAGAGAGGACTGGAATAGCAGAAGAGCTGCAGCTCATGTCTTGCCCTGAGGGGCACAGATAGATTAGCCTGCCTGTGTGTGAGGGAGCAGAACATGAGCATTGAGGACAGCTGGTATCCAGAGCAAAGACCTATAGCAGCCGTTCTCTTCTCACTCTAAAGGGTCTGTGGTGTTCTGTGGGGAGGATTCACAAGTGGGGCCCCTGTCGCAGCTCACTGTGACATCGGTACGGAAATAGAGCAGCCCTGCTTCTGCCTTGCTCCCAACACTTTGGTTTGCCACCCCAACAGGAAGCACTGTCTATGCAAAGGAGAGGGGTCTGTGGGATAGACTGGGAGTATTGTGCAAGCCAGGCCTTAGGCTGTCTATAGAAATGAAATTCCAGTTTTCAAGAAGCATCCGGGCTTCAGAATTTGTTTCGTTAGGCAGTGGCACAGGACCAAAACCTCTTGAAGGGCATCACAGGGAGAAAGAAACACAATCGGCCCCCTCCACCCCATCCTTCCTCCATGGAATAGGCATACCCACTTGAGGTGTGTTGTGATCTGAGTTCAAATCCCTGACATAAATAAGAGCAGGGAGTTAAAACTGGATCTCCCACAGCCCAGGTAATGCCTTCATCAGTGGGTTGTAGCATATTTCTGTCTGGGTTATTGCATTTTCAGTTGTGAAAGAGCTCTTCTAGGAGAACTTGACCCTATAGCACAACATGATGAGCACTTGTCTGGGATGTGGCAGAGCCAGGGTCACTTCCCTCTTCCGTGTGATTCTCTGGTCTGATGAATGTTTAATAAATCCTTGCTCTGCTGAGTTGGTGTCCTCCAGCCTCCCCTGTCTGCATCCTAAGCAATGAGATGCTGCCTGTTCTACTGGAGTAATGCCTGTACCCTTGCCCTCACCCTCATTTTGATGAGACATTTCATCTTGGTACTGAGAAACTTTCCACAGAAATGTTTTGGTGTCAATCAGTATTTCTAGTCCCCCCAAAACAACTTCCGTTGAAAAAAGTGCCCAGCTGGCTTAGCCTGTGACCCACTATCGAGCAGTGTGCATGCCAAACCATCCGTTATGCTGTGCATCTCCTAGCACCTCATTTCATGTCTGGTGAGCTAGTGGGTGAAGCCTTTCCAGTCTCCCTCTTGTATGCTCATCCCCACCTCAGCCCACCCTGATGTCCTTGCAGGATATTCTATGTGTCACATGACTCCCAGGACTTGAAGATCTTCAGCTACATTGCCAGGGATGGCTCCAGCAATATCTTCAGGTGCAATGTCTTCAAATCCAAGAAGAAGGTAAGCATGGCCAAGCTGTTGGGTTTCCTGACATGCTGCTGGGCAGGAGTAGCAGGCTGGGGCTGGGTGAAGCTGCCTGCTGACTCAGATGCACCATATCACAGGCAGCACTATCCTGACCCTGATGAATGTCTGCTTCTTGGAGATCCCAGAGCTTCAAGATTCTCCCTTGTGGCCTCCCCATCTAGCCAGAGATGAGGTGGAACATCTAGCACCTGGATGCTCATTTCACCTCTGGGCATCAGTAATGCCCAGGAGCACTGAGTTAGCACAAACCTGAAGGCTAGTACCTAGGCATTTCCTCCATGAGCCATCAACAAAGGTGCTGCACCCAGCCTCCTAGAACTATTCCCATGCTGTCCATGTACAACCAGGGCTTGTCACTACAATAGAAGTATTGCAGCTGTTGTGCCCCAGAGACCTCCCATGGCCTTGTCAATGCTTCCCTTCCCACTGCCAGTGTGTTACAGTGACTCCAATATAGGAGGACATTGGTCCTAACAGGAGCAGTAGGTTGTTAGCTCTGCTGAGGGATCCACCTTTCTCCATTGACCTGCTGAGGAGGTTGGCTAAACTTGCTGCTCTGGGCTTGGTTCTCCATGGGTGAAAGTGAAGAATTGCATGAAGCTCCCCCAGAGTGGGACGTCAGTGCCCTAGGATGCTGCTTTCAGACACCTGTGGCCAGCACTTCACTTGTCCCCTTCTTGTGTGGCCAGCTAGGAAAAGATCCTTCACCAGAGGATACCACCACCTCCCCACAGCAAGCCCCCTGCCCTGGGCATAAGTATGTATGAACCCTAAATGGAAGAGGGCAGAGAGCAATGGCTCTCCGAGTTAAGAGGGCATCCTGTGAGGCCACCCTGAGAGCTGTTCAAGGTTGACTCTGTTCCACTGGCAGTCAGCAGGGAAAGCCATTGAGGATTCACACAGGGGACAAAGAGACCCAGAGTTTACAAAGCAACCCCTTGAGAGAGCTCATCTGGGTAGAGCTGCCTGAGGCCATAAGCCTGTCGAGCGCTAAGGACCAGAGTTCTTCCCTTCTGCTGAGGGGCTGTGGGGTGCCTGGGAACACAGCCCCTTTTACAGCCTGGGGCCAGGCTTTGCCTGTATAAGGCCATAGCAGTTACTGCATTGCAAGTCGCTGTGCCTTTCCTTTGGGAGCACCAGCAACCAGCCATGAAGCCTGCTATGTCATGGGGCTGTTACAGTGGTGTGGGAAGTGTGTCCATTTGCTGTCAAGCCCTGTGATGGTGACGTCTCTGGTATCTCTCCCTCCAAACCCTCCCAGAGCCAGGCCATGCGCATTGTCCGGACAGTGGGGCAGGCCTTTGAGGTGTGCCACAAGCTGAGCCTGCAGCACACCCAGCAGAATGCAGATGGGCAGGAGGATGGCGACAGTGAGAGGAATGGTGATGATGTGAGCATCTCAGGTACGTTGCACTCATAGCTGCCAGGGCAGGGCGCAAGGGAGGGGCTGTGTGCTCAGCACAGCAAGCAAAAGTCCCCAAACCTCTCAACGAGGCATACGTACAGGAAGTCTGCTGTTTGCTGCAGGCTGTAGTCCCTTTAGGCACAGTGTGCAGGTGCAGACAGTCAATGGCCAACAGACAGAGACAAACTGTAGAGCCATGGGCTTGCAACAGAATTCGTCCCCAATTACAAGAGAGCAGGGTCTTACCCATATCTCCACTCCCTGGGAAGATGTGGGCTCAGACTGGGACTTCATCCAGTAAGTGGCCTTTGGCTCCATCCTTGTGGTTGTTGTCCCCTTGCTAGGATCCCATTGGCAGCGTTCACGATCCTGGCCACCTCTCCCTAGCTCAGGTGCACAGACCATACCAATATGTACTCCCTGCAAAGGGAACACTTCATAACAGCAGCTGCCGGCCCCAAACACAGCCCTTCCTCCCAGGCTTTTTCTTAGTTAAGTCCCTGCTCAGAGTTGCTATTAACAGGGAATAGGTAGCTCAAAAGTCAGCAGGCTTCCAGGACTCTTGTCAATCAGTCTCAGGACTAACTCTTTGAGCCGGTTCCAGGAGAGTGAGGTAACACAGATTCATGGGGTTAAATTGCAGGCTGTGCCAGGGGAGAAGGTGCATGTACAGACAGAGTGCCTGTGCTGTGGTGGAAGGGGTCTTTGAATGAAGGGTGTCTGTCCTCTCCTGTAGGGTGGACAGAGATGGCATGGACTGGATTTTGGGGTGTGCCATGGGGCAGGACTGAGGGACATCAGTACTAGTGTACTGGGACTTTGCCTGGGACTGGGCACTGGCAAAACTGAGTGGTACGACTTGGGGCTTGGGATGGCACGCGTTTGTACCCATAGGAAAAGGGATCCCAGCACTGGGGTGGTAAGGCATGGAACGTGGCCTAGTGCTTTAACAAGGTCATGCAGGAGGCTGTGACAAAAGCAGTTAGTGTATCCCTTCCATAGGTTTAAGTCCCATGAGTATCTGTGAACCCCACATGGTTTGTTAAACTTTTGGGCTGCAAGTGCTTCTAGTGATCAAAGCTACCATGCTATTTTCCCAAGGAGAAGTCCAGATGAAACTGAGGTCTGTATTCCCTCAGCTGGACATAGAGCACAGCACATCAAAATTTACCCTGCTTAATATTCCATTACAGAGGCTCAGACGATATGCAAAACCCCCAGTTCCCTGTTTCTGTCATTCTTTTTGGTTCCTAGGACTTACTTCTCAGATGAAAGCCACATCCTCTGTGGTATAGTTTCAGAGCTATGTCCTGTGAGATGTACAGGGTGGGTCACACCCCTCAGCACATTCAGTATTGCCAACTCTCATGATTTTTGGCATTGTTCTTAAAGTGTACGCTTCGGGAATGTGAAAAACTTAGCTCTTTCTTTTATGTATATTTATATTTATATAAAAAGAATATATATTTATATATAAAATAAAGAGCTACGTTTTTCACATTCCCGAAGCGTACACTTTAAGAACAATGCCAAAAATCACGAGAGTTGGCAACCCTGCACATCTGACAGTCAAAGGCCATGCGTGTACAGTATCAGGTCCTTCACACCATCCCACAAAGGGGTTAGTTGCATCAACTGGTGTTTTTGCTAGACTGACAAGCTGCCAACTCAAAACTGTAGCCAGTGCTGCCTCCTCCCCTTGTGATAGCCAGAGCCCCAGGTTGTCTGCAAGCCTTCAGCCCAGGGATGGCTGTGGAGTTTCCTGCTAATGCATTACTGCATTCAGGAGTCTAAAGGAGTCTCCATCAAAATGTCAGTGCCCTCCTTTCTGGTGGAGAGCACTCAGGAATGTGACCCCAGCATGAACCAAGGCGCTATTAGATTGCTGAGTCTGCAGGCAGCCTATAACAATAGTCCAGAAGGGGATGAGCTGCTTATTCCTCTGCGGGGGAGTGGGGGACTCTGCGACCTAAGGAACTGGTTCAAGCTTTGCCAAGCACCGCAGCTCAGTTTACAGGAACAGCCAGTCAGCATGTCTCCCTTGCTCTCACTAACTGCTGAGGAGTTTTCAGGGGGGTCAGAAACCCCATTTGGTCACTATCTTGCTAATGATGGACTCTTCCATTTCTCATCTGGCACTTTGTCTGTGCCAGAGGTTCCACCTTGTTTCCATGAGACAGGGCCAAGGTAGCTGGTTTATCTTTCATTTGCTACAGGTGAGGCTTTAAGAACATAGACTGTAGGTCCATGTTGCTCAGTGTCCTGTGTCGCACAGGGACAGAGAGTGGATGCTGAAAGGGAGAGTGAACTGGGTATGGCCTGGGTTTTTTCTACTGTTCCACTCTCCCTCCGGCATTTAAGGTCCAGGAAGTTCTGATTCAGAGGCTGTACTAAGTCCTGTGCTCAATAGCTACTGATGCCCCTTTCCTCCAAGAATTTGTCCAGTCCTGTTTTGGATCTGGATAAACTATCAGCTTCCACAACATTTTGTGGCAATGAGTTCAATGCTTTAATTACAGGCTGTGTGAGAGAGAATTTCCTTTTGTTAGTTCTAAACTAACTACCTACTAGTTTCATTTTGTGACCCTTAGTTCTTGTATTGTGAGAGAGTAAGTAATAAATCACAATTTACTTTTTCTTTGCCATTTAGTATTTTGTAAACCTTTCTCATGTCCTCCCTCAAACATCTCTTTTTTAAACTGAATAGGCCTAGCCTCTTTAGTCTTTTCTCATATGGGAGCCCCTCCATACCCCTGACCATCCTTGTTGCCCTTCTCTGTACCTTCGCTAGTTCTCTTATGTCCCTTTTTGAAGTGTGGGGACCAAAACAGGGCACGGTATTCAAGGTGTGGACACACCATGGATTTATAAAGGGACATCTTCCCCCAGGCTATAAGGAGAGTGTTGGACAGTTCTGGTATATACATGTGCATGCAGGTGTATCAAAGAAGCCAGCTCTGGATGAGTCATATGGACTACGTAACATATGGCAGGAGTGCAAGTGCTTCTCCTGCCAGGAGGAGCAGGCCTTGTCCTTGCCCTGGGGAGCAAGGAGGGGAACTGTGCCTAGCAGAGCTGGTTTTTCCTCAAGGAAGATTGCACCATAACCCTGCCATTGCTGTTTCTTCCTAGTCTGCCATGCATCTGGAGCTGAGAAGGCAGCTGCTGCTGCAGAGGAGACCGATATTGATGCAGTGGAAATCCCAGTGAAAGGGAGCGACATCCTGGAGTTCAGCCGTGGGGTGACGGACCTCGATGCAGTGGGAAAAGATGCAAACTCCTATCTGGATGCCAAGGTACCTCAGTACTCAGCCATGCCTAAAGCAGCTGGGCCATAAACTCCTAATGCAGAACACAGCCCCACAGGATGATGTGAATTTGGGATTGTTCTCAGTGCATTGCTTGTTGCTTCTGGGGCTGGGTATCTGGCGTGGAGGTGCCGTGTTCTCTCACCACAGCAGCTCCTGTTTACTTCCTCTGGGATTTTCACTAGATGGCCCTGGCTTAGAGAGACCTCGTATGACCTTTGGGTCCCAGGTCCACTGTGGTCTTTTCACTGCTGTTCAGGTGTGGGATAGAGCTTCCTGGTGTCTGGAGACTGGGGCCCATGGGCAGAAATGCCTGAACTCCAGAGGCAGATATGCTTATATTTCTTGCCACCTCACTAGAACCAGAAAGCAAATAGCTGCCTGTTCTGTGACTCTGCCATTTGGTAGACCCCCTGGCAGGGCAGGGATCATCCCCATGGCTCTCCAGCCAGAATGTGGATGGGATGCCCAGTAAAAGGGCTCCCAAATAGAGGTGCTTGCCTGTGGTTCTATCCTGGGAGACCTCCAGACAGTGCACACACAGCCTATCCCACTCACTGGATGCATCTGCACGAGATGCTAATTGTGCAGTAGCCTAATAACACTGCACAGTAGCATGCTGGGCAGTAGTGCTAGTTACTGCACATTGATTTAGTACTCAGTTATCCAATTGCTAAACTTAATGCACAGTAACTACAGCGCATTAATGAATGTGTAGACACACCCACTGTGGCTGAGCATATTGTGTCTCCTGGAAGACCAGGGGGAGGCAGAGAGGAGCTTGCATCTCTGCAGCACCCAGGAGTGGAGGAACAAAAATGCTCATCCAGTTCAACACACTAGGACATCATGTTGTAGTTCCACAAGCTAACAATGCTGCAGATAGAGTCCTTGCTTGCTTGGGGTGGGATGAGGTTTCACCTCACCCACAGGACCAGGAGAGATTGCAGAACTCACAGTGTTATTGTGTCTCACCCCTCTGCCCTGGAGTGGCTTTCCCTGAAGCCAGAAGGGCTTTGCTGCCTTGGGCCCATGGGTGATCCTGGAAGAGACTGGGATTTTGGTTCACAAACAAGCATGTTCATTTGTGGGTAGTCAGTTGTGGATAACTTATGGCTGCCTGTAGAGTTGGAGTTAGTGCTCCCTTCCCTGTTTGTGTACTCTTGGGACTCCTGGCAGAGGTGTCGGCAAGGCCACACCATGACCAGTGGCATTAACAGTCTGACCCTCTGGCCCTGTGTCATTGCCCGTTCACATAGCCCTTTCATCACATTAGGAGTGGAAGCCTCTTCCAGAGCAAGTACAGCACAGCTTGAGGCAGGGAGTGGGGAGGTGCATGGAGTGAGCGAGCAAGCTGTGGAGGTCAGCGTTCAGCCTACAGAGTTTCTGCTGCTCCCAGATCAAAGCTATCACTTCAGCTCATTTGTTTCTGAGATGCCCTAATGAAGTTCTGAAATAATTTGCCTTCGGTGAGTGGGTCTGGGCTTGGAGCCATTACAAATTTTTTTGACTGACCCCCCTGCAAAAAAACCCAACCTTCCAGCTCCTTGGTCCAAATGGAAATTTCCTCTGGAAAGGGTCTGCTTTTGAACTACAGTTTTCTACAGAATGTTTTGGGGTTTTGTCAAAAACTACAAACTTTACTTTTGGGGTTTTAATCTCTTTTGGCAAAACATGTTTTTAAATAGTGTTGGGAGGGCTCAGTGGAAACCTACAAAAATCAAAGAAACATATTGTTGAAAGAGCCACTTTATTTTTCATGTTCACTGATTTTTTTCCCCCAGCAAAAAGCCTTTTCCCCCCAATCGGGTATCACAAGAAAGTCTCTGCTTGGCCTTTATGAGTGTCCTTCATCCATGTTTAGCCCAGGTTTCCCCTGGTTTTCTTGAATTCAAGGACCAAGTGGCAGCCAGCTGGGGTGTTTCTGGAATCCAATCTGAGTTGCCAACAAGTTGTTTTGCCCTTTAACTGTTGTCAGTGCTTCCAGAATAATGAGGTTGCCTGTTAAATCAGCACCGAGGTGCCAACTGAATCTCTGTGGGACAATATCCGGGAAGGGAAAATTGCACAAGGGGTCTGTGAGAATAGGGACTTACTGGAGGTCTGATTAATTCTACACCAGCGCTTCAGGTCCTTCCAGGTTGGCAGTCCCTGTGACTGCCATGCTGTGCCTATATCCTGGCTGGTAAATCCCATCCTAGCTACAAGCCAACAAACCTTCCCATGACAAAATGAGGTTGCGGGGTGGGGGTCCATGGCAGGTCTTCTGGGATGTCCCCAGCTCGATTGTAATGCGTGATGCTGACAGAACAGTTCTAGAGGCAAAACCTAGCAGAGCCTCTCCTTCTGCTGTGGCATCCACAAGAAGAAGCTGAGAAAAATGACTCTTCCTAATAAAGCAAAGGGATTTTGTTGGGCATCTCAGGTGTTGGAAAAGGTAGCCAGCTTTCCACCAGCCCGGCAGAACGTGTAGCACTGTGGAGCCCTGCTCTGTGGAAAAGCAGGCCGCAGTCCATCAGCTTGGGCGTATTGGGCTGCACAGTTGTCCAGACCTGCCTGGTAGGAGTCAGTGCCTAGGTAAAAGGAAGTATTGGCAATAGCACAGTCTTGGTCCAGAGGTTCTGACACTGGGCCCCTGTTCAACCACTGAGTATCAGTCCTTCCTGGAAAACCAGCAGGAGGCTTAGAAGAGACCTGGACCCCTAGAGCAGACCACCCCTGTTTACCTGCCTGCTTTCCCTTAGGACAGTCAATGGATGCGTGAGAGGGAAGGCTTTGGGCTCTGTCTCTCGCTAGGTGAATTTTGAGCACTGTAGCCAGGTTAGAGACCAGAAGCCTTGACCAAGAAAGGGCAGTGAAGGAGAACCTGATTTGCCTATATGTAAATTACACCATCGTGTAAGGGGAAGGTGTTTGCTAACAAAGCAGAAGATCTGTGGTATGAATGGGATTAAAAACTATGTTAATTACAGCTAACTCTGCTCACAGGCATAGTGAGGGCTGTGGGAATCCAACAATGCTTTGGAAGTTAAGTGACCTGTAAATGTTCCCTATTAGGAGCATTACTGGATGTCCTTGCTGGTCTCCCAAGTACCTGGAGTGCCAATTTTTACCATAACTAATGTACAGAGAAGTAGCACCAAGAAAACCCACTAATAGGCCCCGTTATGCTGGGTACTGCACAACTACACAACAAAGAGACAGTCCCTGCCTCACAGACAGACAGAGGAGCAACAGTGGACACTGGGCAGTGATCTCAGCATACCAGGTGCCTTGCTGCTGTCTACTCAGTTGGCCTAATAAAAAATGTCACATCTAACCAAAGAACTTCGCCTGCCTATGTCCTTAGATCAACACAGCTACAACCAAAAATTCAGCTTTCTGCTGTCAGGCAGTCAGGGAACACCCTTTGCCCTGACTCATGTTTTCATTTCTTCTGTATTTTTCAGGGCTCCTTGCACCAGGAGAGCATCCTGACTGCATCACCCAAGATGCTGCTCCCCTCCTCTGCCCAGCTGCCTGACCTGGGGACGCCCCTGTCTGCCCACCACCAGATGCAGCTTCTCCAGCAGCTCCTACAGCAACAGCAGCAACAGACCCAAGTGGCTGTGGCTCAGGTTCGCCCCTCTCTATTTGTGACGTTATGATTATTAGGTGGGATCCCAGAGTATGCAGATGCCTCGCAGGGGCATTTTAGAAGCAGGAGGCTTGGGAAGGAGCAGGGAGATGGCTTGGGGATAAGTCAGAGGATGGTGCAGCAGGTTCTGAGTGAAAATGTTCCTATGTAATGTTCTGGATCTTGGAGTTACACCCTGCAGTAAAGGTGATTTTGCTATGATCTAGCCTGCAGTGAGCCCCTAATCCGCAGAGGAGCATTCTTCTCCTTCCCCTTCAGCACCTCATTAACATGCTGACACATGGTGAGACTCCTGGATCAGGGAGGGCAAGCCTTCCTATGCTACAGGATTCATGGGCAGCAGTGATAAGTGGGCCTGGCAGAGAAGACACTGGGGCCCAGTCCTGGGTTGGTGGCCTCTTTCTTCAACACAGACCTGGTCTCTCTCACCTTCTGGCAGCATGTGGGTAGCTTGATGTGCCAGTTAGTATTATGGAACTGATCTGCAGCATTAAAGGCTGCCCTGTATATTGGGTCACAGATCTTATAGCCTATAATACAGGCTGTAGCACTTTCCTGAACTAAATCCTGTTAAAACTAGAGTCGATTTCCTAGCAAAACATCCAATCTTAGTATGCAAATCTCCAGGGAGTGAGAGTCCACCACACTTACTCAGCTGTTCTGGAGGTAATTACCCTCTGGTAACGTGCTAGTCTGAATTTGTCAAGCTTCACCTATCAGCTCTTAGATCTTGAATCTAGTGGATCCCACGACCCTGTTACCTTAAGTATTTTGTCCCATAAAGGTACTAATAGACTGTGATCAAGTCACCCTTTAACCTTCTCTTGTTTAATACTAAACAGGAGGAACTTCTGGAGTCTCACTCTATAAGAGACGTTATCCAGTATTTAAATCCATCTTGGGCCTCACCTCTAACCCCAGTTTATCAGCCTTCTCCCTGAGTTGTGAATACAACATCTGGACACAGCGATCACACCCATCCCAAATAGAGAGGCAGTAGAACCTTCCTGCTCCTACTGCCAATTGCCCTGGTTTTCAGTAGATCCCAGGATGGATGGCATTGCCTCAAAATCATGCTGGGAGTTCATGAGTAGCCATTCATCAGCCAGGACCCCCAAGTTCTTTGCAGAATCACTGCTTCCCAGGACAGAGTCCCCAGTCCTACAGATTCAGACCAGATTGTTTGTTCACAGATATGGGGATTTACATTCAGCCATATTACAGCACATCTTATTTGCTTGCCTCCCCGTTTATTAAACAATCCCAATGACTTTGTATCCGTGCTCCTTCCCTCTCTTTATTTACCCCCTTTTCCAATCTCTTTGTCTTGCACAAACCCTATCAGTACTTTCATGCTCTCTTCGAGGTCATGGCCAAAAATTTTAAATAGCATGGGACCAAAAAAAACCCCCCTAGTAGACACACATCCACTCAGATGATTCCCCATCTGAATACCTATCAGCAAGCCACTTTTGAATTGATTTAGTGCATGCCATTTTAATTGTGTTTCATTCTAATCTATTAATCAAAATACGAGGCGGGATCAGACCTGATTCCTTTCAGGAGTTGAAGTATGTTCCCTCGTCACTCTTACCTTTGCCAGGCGAACCTGTAGTCTCATCAGAAAAAGGCTACTGAGTACATGTGTCGGTATCTATTTTCTATAAAATCCCTATACTGAATGGCATTAATTATACTGAGCTCTTTTATTTCTTTATTAATCAAGTCCAGTGTCAGCCATTCCATTATTTTGCATAGGATCAATGTCAGGCAGATGGATCTATAATTACGCAGATCATCCTATAATTACCTGGGTTGTAATTACAAGGATGTGAATGAAATGCCATTTGGATCTCACATGGCCCCCTCCCCTGTCCCTGCCAGCTCTCTGCTAGAACAGGCCTTGTTCGGTTCCCCATCAGTGCTTCCAGTCTGGCTGGAGTGAACCATATTTCTCTTCTCAGCATCCATGGAAAAAACACTTTCCTGACCTGAGGGGTTATAATTAACCAGCATTAGCTGGGAGTCAGGGAGCACAACAGAACACTGTGGAGCCTCTCTGAAATTCCTCGCAGGAGCCTCACTCTTAGGAAGTGTTTCCTAACACCTGGCTGTAAAGTTTCTCGCTTGGCAGTTACAGGAATTTTCATCTCCCCTCCTCTGAAGGGAGGATCCAGGCCTGTGCCTCCTATCCCATTCTCTCTGTGAGTGATGCAGTTTGGGCACCGATTGCTTCTTCTCCTCCCAGCCAGTGCTGGATATGATCTGTGTCCTCTCCCTAGATGCCTGGCATGAAGGTGGCCATCCCACTGAGAGAAAGGAAGATGTTTTTACCTCTGACATGCTTGACAATGAGCCTTGGCACCTGTTCAGCTTTTAATTGCTATTCTGTTACTGCTGGCATATCCCAGGGTTTTTGCTTCATCCACCCAGTGGGCAACACCCTCCAAAGGACTGTAATGTAGCTCCTCTCCTGGGCTGGAGAGGAAAGCTACGCCAGCACTTACCTGGAGCACAACAGATCTTGTGGCATGCCTTGACTCTCCATATAGGACTCCTTGCTGTAGATAATGTGAAAAGAGAATGTAAGGTCCCATATACCCCCCTGCCACTGGGCCAGTCAGGGACTTCTGGGAGGAGTGACTGGACACTGACAGTGGTGGAATGGGCGATGTGCTTACTAGCATTCGGTGCTGAATGGCTGCAAGGTCAGGAAGGACCTTGTGTTGTCCTGGCTTTCAGAGACCAGCATCTTCATGGCTCTCTCAGAATCCCTTCTGTCCCTTCTCTTACTTGCTGGTCCCAGAGCAGATGATCAGTGAGCATGTGACAGAAGCTTTCCATTGCTTTATGGAGGAAGCACGGGGAGGAGGATGAAACCAGAGCTCTGGTTTGGTCTGGGTTTGGCCTGAGCTCCCACCTTGTAGCCTCTGCTTGGACATCCTATCTTCTGGCATCATTGTGTCAGGTAAACTGGGAGTGCTGACTTCACTCCCCTTTTACTATGAAAAATCCTTGCTCTGGCCTGCCAAGAGTATAATGATTGTGACAGTCCATCAGGTGAGGGTGCCCAGGCACTGTGAAGTAGAGTAAAGGATACCTGCCTGCCTTGATGCTGCTCCAGGTAGCAAAGTGGTTCCAGTGGACTCATGCCATCTACTCCAAAGAAGGGTTCTGTGCCAGAGGCACAGGAGGTTGTGGGCTGCACAGGAGAAGCAAAGCTGTCTTTGGACCCTGGCCTGCCCTAGGGGCAGCAGCTCACAGCATAGTTAGTATAAGCAGAACAACCCAGTAGCTGTGCAGTGAGGGGACTTGCCCTTCCAACAGCACCTATAAGGTCAACTTTCTAGGCCAAGGGTAGCCAGCCTGCACCATGGGCAGTCTGTGTGTAGTACACAGCGTACTGGGGAGGGAGCAGAAAGTACAGTGGCAGAAAAGGCAGGAAGCAGAAAACAAAGTGGCAGATTGAGCAGGGAGAACAGGGAAGGAAGCAGAAGGCAGAGTAGCAGATTGGGTAGGGGAAAGGGGATCAGAGAGGCACTCAGGGAGGGTTATTTGTGGCATACCAGGCAAATGTTGGACCCCACTGTTCTAGGCACTCTTGCTGCGTTGGTTTTTGTTAAATCCTAACTTGCCTGGCTCCCTTGTGCATGTGGCTGGCTACACTGGCCCTGGGGAATGCAGCACTCTGAGTCTCAAATAGGCAATCAGCTTGTGACAAGGGGATTCATCAATTTTTTCCACTCCCATGGTGTCCATGTGATGCTGTGTCCTTGTTCTGAGCCTGTCCTGGGGAAGGAGGCAGCGGTTCGCTGGCCTCACTCTTAGCCTGGGAAGCTGAGTGAGCTGGGTGCTGGGCTGCTGTCTTTGCTCACATCCAGAACAGGCACTTTGGAAAAGCTTCTGCTTCTTTTTTGGGACAGCCAAGATGAGGCAGCTGTTCCCAGTAGGGGAAGTGGGTTTTGTGAAATAGAAATGGCTTGGAGAATTGTTTGACCTTGGGTATTCTCTGAGGCATCAGAGCCCTATGGGACAGACTGCCTGTGTCACTCAGGTGCCAGGTTGCCTTGCCCAACCCTCTAGTTCAGAAAATTGCAAGTTGACTCTGATGCTCCCAGCTCCTAATGGCAAGGACCTGGACAAAGAACTGGGAAGTCTGAGCTCCTCAGAGGGCACTGAGCTGGAGGGCCCTGCAGATGGGGAGTTCCTGTAGGCTTAGAGGGGTGCAGACATACAACTCTTTAGCACCCACTGGGAGTTCCAAGCTCCCAGTTCTCTGCTGTGGGCAGGTTGCATTCCTGGCTGTCTGGACAACAGGCAGTGCTCCCTGGCATAGTGCCCACTGCCTCTCCCTGTCTGTCCCACAGGTTCATTTGCTGAAGGACCAGCTGGCCGCAGAGGCAGCAGCACGGCTAGAAGCCCAGGCTCGAGTGCACCAGCTCCTACTGCAGAACAAGGATTTGCTGCAGCACATCTCACTGCTGGTCAAGCAGGTGCAGGAGCTGGAGCTGAAGTTGTCAGGAAGCAACACCAGTAAGAGCTCCTTCCCCTTCCTCCCTCCCAGCCACCAACAAAAGGAATCCCGGTGCACAGCATGGAGAGATCTGCAGCTGGTGCCTGTGAAGCATCACCAAGGTGCAGCATCTGCTGTGTCCTGGAGGACCCCAAGATCCCTGTCCCCTACCCCTGTCCTACTGCTGAGTTCCTGTTTTAGGGTTCCCCAGTCCTCCCATTACAAGAGCCAGGATCCACCCCATAGACATAAGTAGGAGGGGTCATTGCATAGCCCTGTCTGAGCATCTCCAGTGCTCTGCATCCCTGCTGTTGTTCATCAGCACACAACATGCATATCTCGTCTGAGCTCAGCCAGCGCCCAGGAAGGTCAGTGGAAAGTCTCTGGCTGGATTTGACGGAGGCATGTTCAAGCCCTTAATGACCAGACCAGTCTGATGTGAATGGGAGAGTATCACCACAATGATTAGTGCGTGTAGAGAAGCATTCTAAGTATGGTATGTTTGGTGGGGATAGTTTATGTCTATGTAGCATGGTGCTTGCATATAGTGTAGGAGTGCAGATGTGTAAAGAGTGTTTGTAGAGTGTTATGTATAAATGAGTATATAGGAGGGTTTGTGGATAGTGGCAGAGCACAAGTGCATAAGGGGTAAGTGCGTAGGCTGCAGGGGCCTGAGGTGGAGGAGTGCATGTCTAAAGTGTGCATAGGAGTGCAGTGCATGAGGTGTTTGTGTGTAGAGTGGGTGCTCAGGGTGCAGCTTATAGGGTGGATGTGTCAAGGTGCAGGTGCATAGGACTGCAGATGCTCAGTAAGTTTGTGTAGAAGGGTGCAATGCACACACTGTTTGTGGATACAGTGGGTGAGTGTAAGGTGGGAGACCAGTCCCTCACCCCGACTCCCTGAGACACCTGACACAGCAGAGAGATGAGTAGGAAGCTGTGGTGGGTGGATGAAGGGCTATGGTTTGTCATCTGGGCTGGCAGACATGCCATGTTGGGGCAGTTGGCCATGCCCTGGGCTGGTCCCACTGCTCTCTCAGCCTGCTTTTCTCTTGCAGTGGGCTCCCAAGACAGCCTGTTGGAGATTACCTTCCGCTCCAATGTTCTGCCTGTGCTCTGTGACCCCAGCACCCCGAAGCCTGAAGACATTCATCTGCCGCAGCTGGGCCATGGCTCTGACTTTTCCGGCACCCTGGGCAGCCCCATAGGTAGGAGTGACTGCTTGGTGAAACTGGAGTGCTATCGCTTCCTGCCCAACTCCATGCCTGCCCCGCAGGAACAGGTCCTGGGCAGCCTGGAGCTCATCAAGTTCCGCGAGTCGGGCATTGCCTCGGAGTACGAGTCCAACACGGATGAGAGTGAGGAGCATGACTCGTGGTCCCAGGAGGAGCCACCACACCTGCTCAACGTCCGGCCCAAGCAGGACCTGGGCGACAGCCTGGAGGATGAGATTGCAGTGTAGGGCCTGGCTGGGGAATTGTAGAGCAACCAGCGCCCATGACAGTGCGGGGGAGCACTGGCCCCTTGTCTCCTTACTGAGGAAGGGGTGGGAGAGCCCCGAGGAGGTGGGAGCAGGGTGGGGGGTGGTGCCTGGGACGGCAGGAAAGCAGCTGCTGGACAGCAGAGCTAAATTCAGTGCTTTAGGCCTTTTTGTGAAATGTTTCTCTACCCCCTACAACTCCTGCCCTCCCGGAGGGCCTAGGTGCTGGAAGTCCAGTGCCTGTCCCAGGAGCAAGATCTGATGGCGTGTTGCTGGGTCCTCCTCTCTTAGGGCAGGGCAGCCCACTGTGACAGGAGCTGGGCACAGATGCAGACACACCACCTCCCACATGGGCAGTCCCATCACCACTCTGCCAAGCATTTGGCTAGGCTGGAGAAGCTTCTGCTGTCTCCCAGGCTCCATAGGGAGTGACTAGGAAACCTAGGGCTGCCTGGGCACTACCTCAGGATGGATGGTGAAGGGTAATAACTGCCTTGGCCTGGCCTGGCCTGGGTACACTGCGGGGATATGAAGCAACTAGTGTCCTGTGCTCCTGCCAGTGGGGGTCAGGGGATGAGCAGTTCCCACGCCTACTCCCAGGGGCACAAGTTTTACACACTAGTCTTTGGATGCTTTTGCCCTGGGTGGTGCCAGTTTCAGGAGGAGAGTGTGAGCTGGGGTCAGAGACCTATCAGCCAGCTGCTTGTGTTATTGCCAGTCTGCCTGAGGCTGAGGCCTCCCAGCTTTGTGAACCTTTGATTGGAACTCAAGAAGAGCACATGGGCCTGGATGCAGCTGTGTCACTGAGGGGTGGGCTGTGGCTTTGTAGGGAGAGGCCTGGGGAGAGTGCTGTGGGGCTGCTACAGGTACTGGAATGGGCCATCATGGGAAGGAGGCCCATGCCTAGTGAAGAAACTGCCTATGGAGAGAGTTATATGTGGATGGGCCCTAGGCCACATGGCTAGTCAGGGCCTCCCACCAGCCAGGAACTATTATGAACCGTGGCCCAGCCAAAAGCCTCAGTAGCCACCATATGACTCCCAATTTTTGTCGGGGTTCTGGGCAGTTTTAGGAGCCTAGCTTTAGTCCACCCAAATCTGGCAATTCGAGCCACTAGCCATAGTATCACAGACATTAACAGTGAAGGCTGGGGAAGCAGTTTTACCTTTCAGAGGTCAGGTCAAGCTTAGGTGTCTTATCCTTGATGCAGTTTTATCACTGTGGATATTTTCTTTATCCACATTAATCTTTAGTCCCTTTCTGAATCCTGCTTAGCTGTTGGCCTCCCTGGAATCCTCTGGCACAGAGTTCCACAGGTTACCTGTGCATTGCACTAACACGCAGGGATTCTGCTTCTCAGTTGCCTTCTTTTTTCATTGAGCATCCCCTTGATTTTTGCATGGAGACCTTCCTTCTTTGCACCAGTCAGTCTTTGTGCTACTTGCAACTAGGGGCCCCCTGGGCTCATCTCCTCTGACTGCTAAATAGGGTTAGGGTGGGGTGAGTGAAGGGTCACAGAGAAGCCCAGGAAATGTTGTGGGGGGAAATCACAACTTTTAATCTTTTCCTTCTGTCAGCATAAGGGAGCTTTTCATGGCCTTTGGGCCCCTTCCTGTTTCTGTTGTTTCATGAGAGGGGGTAACCCCAGCTGACCTCTGCAGTCTACGAACACCATTGATGTCTGTGATGATGTATATCGGTGTAGGTACTTCTCTGGGCTATGGTATGTGACCAGCTCACAGTCTTTAATGCACAAGGTGAGGTGGAGCAAAGCTCTTGCCCCTTTTGTACAGAGGAGGACCTGAGGCACAGAGAGACCAAGTGATTTGGGCACATGGTACATTTGTGGCAGAGCAGGGGAAAATTCCCAGGCTTTCACCTTAATCCCCAGGTTATCCCCCATTCTTTGGCAGTCCTGTCTTCTGTGTTGTCCTCCATCCCAGTCTTTACACAGCTTGCTGTATGGCTTGCTGTTCTGAAGGCAGCATCAGTGAACAGCTGATCTCTTTGACTCTACAGTTGTTTCTCCCTGAACAGTCCCAGTTCATCCAAACCCTGTCCATGCACACGAAGCAACTCAGATCATTCTTTCCAGCCTGCCTCAAACTCTGTTGGTGAAACTGAATGCCGCCCCTACCCCCTTTGCCCATACCGCTCTGGCCCCCCATAGCCTGGTCACGTTTCTGCCCTCCCTCACTGCCCTCTTTGGGTTTGACTAACCTCAGCCATTTTGTGTTTTGTCGACCCTCCACCCTCCCAGATCACTGAACACAGTGCAACAGAGCCGTGCAAAGATCTCACCCTTATTTTTCTTTCTTTTCCTTTGCATAAAACATGCAAATCAAATACAAAAAAAGTCACAAACACAGTGAAGGAGTCAGGAAGTTCCAAATGTGAAGGGAGCCAAACACTTCCCCCACGGCTTTATAAATCATAAAAGTCACTCCAATCCTCTTACGGACTGGAGATCTTGGCTCTAGAGCAGAAGCATGTTATTTCTTCCTGTTTGTTTACAGTCTAAAATATTCCAAAGGATGTGCGACCTGGCTCGGTTTCTGTTTTAGGAGACTGCTTCTCTGGGTATTCCTTGCTAGGTGCAGGATATTGGTTTTGATATGATGGTCCAAGGATAGGAGAGAACTGAGATATGTGAGGTGAGGTAATGTCTGTTATTGAATCAGGTTATATAATTGGAAGAGAAAGACAACAAGTGTTCGGGCTTCAGATGCCCTAACTTAGGTCTTAAGTATGTGGTTTCTTACCCCCTCTCATTGTATTAATGCTGACTGTCAGCTGGCAGATGTGAGTCCCCAAGAAAAGGTTTCATTAAGAGAAATGCCTGTTGATGATTTGGTAGGGGCCTTTCCTACAAAGGTACAAGCCAGCAGCCATGGGTGACTGCACTGCGAGTGTTGGAATGTATTGCTGGAGGGACCTTGCTGGGACGGCACCATCTACCCTGAAGGCAGGAATAGGTGGGTTGCCAGGGTAAGTGGAGGGAGAGAGGAAAGGAGCAGTGGCTATGGGCAGATAGTAAAGAAAGCAGGAATAGCAGCAGGGGAGCAGGTGGGAATGGGTGCAGTTTGGGAGAGATGGAAAGAGTTTAAGTGCTGAGGCAGTGGAGGGGAAGCTGAAGTAGGATGGAGAGGACTGCTAACTCTGGGCAGTTGTCATGCAAAGACTTAGGGAGTAGGGAGGGCAATGGGAAGAGAGAATGGAGACCTTGACTGAGAGAGGAAAGGGGGCATCATGGAGCACCAGGCTGGAAAGCAAAGGCACTAAGTCATGCTGCTTTTGACAGCAGGGATAGCCCCAGGCACTTGGGTGACAGGCCCCAGAAATCAAAAGATTGGCTTTCAAATAATAAACACAAGGCTCTCTTCCTTTTCTGTCTAGTTTCTGAGCCTCCGGGGTGCCCTCAAGTCACATTCTCATGTTTTTTTCTGCAGCCCTCAGGGCTAGAAACCTGCTTTTTTTAGTAGATAGATAAGAGCTGAGCTTTTACCATAATCATTGGACTACAGGGGGGCTATGACTTTCAGGTTGTCAGCCAGCCATTCCACCGTATGCAGAGCTGGTTGCACTCACAAATAGTGTAGATTTGGTGGGGGTGCAAAAGGACACTCTCACAAACGCAGCTTTTCTACACCTACTTTTCCAGCCAAGGCAAATACTTGAGGCTAGCAAAAAAATGCATGCCTTGCTCCTGTGAGCACAGCTGGGGGACACCTTTTGGTCACTGAACCTTCAGACTGTAGGATGTTTACTCTTCAGAGAACCTGTTTCCAAGGAGGGAGGGCTGCTTTGTGGCACAGTTTCCTGGTTATATTGACTGCTTGGCAGTTGTTTGCCCAGCCTGGACATGCGATGTTGATTTTTAATGACTCTTTGAAGGGGGAGCTGATTAGAAGCCCACTGGGGTGCATGGTGGGAGAGAGGTGGTGGCAGGTGTCCTGGATACCAGCTTCCAAATGACGTTCTGATAGCTACGCCATTCCAACTGTGCTCCTGCAGGTTGAACACTGACATGTGAACAGGTGCCAGGAGCTGCTTAATTGCTGTGTGTCACATACTGTAAGGCTCAGCACTGGAGTTACACTAATGAAAGAGAAGCCAGCCAGGGCTCCAGGGATGATGCCATTAAAGAGACAGGATCTGGGGAGGGAGACAGGTGGCCTGGTTATTAACAGCAAACAGACCCTGTTTACAGACTCCTCAGGGTACGTGGGAGGAGATCAAAAAATTCCTTATTCCAACCCCCTCCACCCCACCCCATGTGTCCTACCTCCTCTCCTGCATCCCACTTCAGAGCCAGTACTTTGTGCTGCCAGTCTGCCAGTCAGGTTTCAGGCTTTGCCAGCTAACAACCTGTCCCCGTCTCAGCAAGTATGTCGTGGGATGCTTGTTCTACAAGAGCCCATAGCCCTGATCACCCCCCCTGCCTTTCCTGAGATCTTTAGCTGTTGCCCATCACTGCAGTATTTGGGTGTCTCCCAAGAGACAATGGCTAATGTGTTAGTCAGCCAGGACCTGTCTTTCCCCTCTGCTCCCCCAGAGGCACTTGAGGACATGGGGGGTTGGTTCATTTATTTATCCTCTTTTTTACTCCCTCCTCACTTGCTTCTCTGGCCTCTCTGCCTTCTTGCCTTTGCCTTTCTGCCTGCTCTTCTTCATTGCTGGCTGTGGCAGGATTCTCCCCAAAAGGGTAGGGGTAAGGGCAGAGTGATGGAGCCTCAAGCTCACCTCCTGCCATGACAGATTCCATCTCCTGTTGAGAAAGCTCCATCTCTTGCCTTCCCCTGGGGTCTCCCTGGCATTGGCAGCTCTTGAAGAGCCCAGGAGCCAGGGCAGGTCAGTGATGTGCTGCATGCAGCTTTGTCTAGCACAGGGGATGTAGATGAGGAACTGGCTGTGAAGCCATGCTCTGAGGGATCAGGGCAGTGAGTGAGCACAGGATGCTGTCCAGGGTGGCTGAGGGGGTGGGCTGTGGAAGCTTGGCTGTGAGGCACGTTTTATGGGGTCAGGGCACAGAGGGGTGTCTGGGTGCTCAAATCTCTCCAGCTGGGATAGCTGAGGGGTTGGTTTTAACAACCTAGGGCAGGCTCCTTGTACAGAAGGCAAGGTGATGCGAATTTCTTAGTGTTTGCTATTCCTCTGCTCACCAGTATCACTTCCATCTCACCCCTGTTCCATCTGGGAACAGTTTTCATTCAGCCAGGCAGGGGGTGGGTTGGGAGAGAGTGCTGTCTGCCCACACTTTGTGTGGGGCACTCTGGTCAGAGAGAGTAGGTTGGGAGGGATTTGGGAAGCACTTTTGTTGATCTGGAACTTGAAGTAGCTCAGAGCTCCTCTGGGTGATTGGCCTCGTGGACAAGATGGTGGGGTTACCATGATCAGGGCTGCATGTGGGCCTGTCCCTACTAAGACAATCACGGTCTCCCAATGGGCCTGTGGGCCTGCCATTCACAGTGCCATCAGCAAGAGAAGAGCAGTGCAGAGTGGGTCCTAATAGCCTGTCATCAGTCCTGGCACACAGTTAGAACAACAGGAGAGAGGATTCAAGGCCAGGAGAAGGGCATGCATGTGAAAAGGGAAAGGAGGGAGTGAGAGAGAGAGAGAGAAGCAAGGGAGATAAAGGCAGCGATGAGACATGAGGGGGCCAGGGGATGGGTTTGTAGGGAGATTTTAATAAGGGTTTAGAGCTCTGGGCTTTGACAGGGGTGTCAAATGGAGGGTGAGGGCACTGAACAGCACCAGAAGGAAGTCATAGTTTAATCCATAGTCTAGTCTACCCTGCTTTTTGGGGCAGGTGCAGCCCCATTTCCCCCTCTCCTTTTCCGCCATCCCCGGTTTCTGTTCCCCAGCTCACACTCGCTTTGCATCAGCACAGGCAGCAGAAGGGAAAACCATCAATGGCAGGGGAGGGAGCTGGAGCTTCAGTGACCTTGGGATCCTGCTAGGAAGATGTACATGTCAGTGGGAGCCTCTCTAACCACTTTTCTGAGCTGGAGCCAGCTGCCTTGGGGGAGACCAGTAGCCGGGTCTCTAGCAGCTGTCTGCTCCCAGCTTCTTTCTCAGCACTCAGCTTAGCTCCTGCTTAGGCAAGGGCCAGGGTTTGGAGACAGTGATACTGGAGCCGGTCTCATTTTGGGGTGGCTGCCTTGGGATTTCTGGTCAGCAGTGCCTGGCAGAGGGGTGCAGTGTCCTGTGGTTGGAACCAGGCATCTCACTTGCTTTCGGTGCTGCTGGGACCAGGCCCCCCTACTCCAGCATCCTGCTGTCCCACGGGAGCAGGAACTGTATATGTGTAACTCATACTCCCAGTAACTCGACGTTGCCTATAAAAATCCTCTCTAGCCCCACACTTCTGTTATGGACCTTGGTGGGGTGGCGGGGGGGAGGGGGTTAAAGCTCTATTTTTTGTCCTTTTCCTACAACTCCTCTGTTGCTAACTGTTGATTCAGTCTATCTGGGAAACAGACCTGTTGATGTAAGTGCACTTAACCCCTGGGTGTTGTCATTAGCTGGTTGGCTTTTGCTAAATAAATCTTTCTATTTCTCAAGGCTTTCTGTTGTCTCTTCCTTTCTTTCTCTGTGTCTCTCTCTCCCTTGCTCCCTCTCTCTCTGAGTCACTTCCTCCACCTTCCAAACTCTAAGGCCTAGAGCAATCCAGCTATTTTTAGTCTACATGGAAGCCATCTTCCTGGAAATGGGACTTTCCATACAGTGAAACCTGTCCCATGAAACCAGCCCAAGTTGGATCCAGCTGAACAGGAGTCCCTGAGGCACTTCCCAACAGTCCCTTATGGCATGGTGTGGCACACTGGAGCCACTTTGGGGAGCAGGTTCCACTGTAGATGCAGCCCCTTGCTGTGCTGCTGTCGGAGAGACTGCAGCCATTCTACCCCACTCCAGCCACTGTGACTGGGGAAGAGTTTGGGCAGGAGCTATCTCTTAGTGGTTGTTTTTTGGGGGCCTGATTCTGCTCAGGGTCTGTACAGCACTTGGACAATGCCAGAGAGGGGAGGGCCACCCTCAGTCAGGGTTTGTGCAGCACCTGATACACAATGGGCCTGGTTTGCTCATGGTCTCTACAGTGCCTGGCACAATGTGAGCTCCCTCCCTGCCCCTTCTCCCTTGGGGTCCCTCTGGATTACTGGAATGCACACATTCAGTTACAGTACTACTGATACACTGGCAGGATCTCCATTCCTTGCTGCAGGGGGAAGCTGCAGGAGGAGTTTGTGCCAGGGCTGTAGATTACAGTAGAGAGCTGTCCAGCTGGAGCTTGCAGTCCTCCCTCAGGCAAACTTTCCACTGAAGCAGCCCTTTCACAAGACTCTAGGCAAGACTAGTTTGGAGCCAGTTCTTTCAGTCCTTGGCAATATGGAGAACTCAGACCTATGCCTAGTCAGTACCCTGTATGGATGGGAAAGGAGAGGGACTGCTCCCCTCAGCTTTAAGAATGCACCAAGGGCTGACTGTCCCCCATTATAATAAATACTGTCTCTCCACCGCAGCACTGTCAAGTCCACCCGCCCTTGAGTGCAGTATGTTGGACTCAGTGTTGGCAGTTGTGCTAGAGTGGCACTCTGCCTTTCACAGCTAGCAGGTATGCCCACACATCCTACCCTACCTGCCATTTACAGTCACAGCCCCAGCCAAGCTGTAGTATGGCCAGTGATGCTTTGAGTCCCTCCGCTTCAGTTCGTACTGGAGCAGCCAAGAAGGCAGCTGTCACCCTGGCACAGAACAGGGTTGAGCCCCATTTGGTGCCATTCTCTCAGCATCCATGTACCACAGAGGGCATAGCAATTCAATCTATGCCAGATTGACATCTGTTTTGTGGCTAGAGTGACTCAGGACTGAGCTGCGTTTGGTTGGTTGTTGCTGCTGAACTTAAGCCCAGTGCAGTGATGAGCTGACTTCACAAGATGTGGCACTTGGCTACCATCTCCTCCTGCATGTCTGCAGTAATTAGTCTTTGTTACCACGGCACCAGAGCTAGGACATCTGTGTTACATTAAACAGGTGTCTGGAATCCTCTGGCTAAGGCCAGTTGGAGACCCAGAATTCTTGTTCTGGGGGAAAACCCTGAAATGTATGAAGGAAAATGTTCCCTGTCTAAATGAAAACATGTCATTTTAAGGTTTCCCATGAAATGAGGGAGTCCAATATGGTCCAGGTTTTGTTTTCTTTTTTTAAAACAAAATTGCAATGATTCCTCAATAAGTTGAGAACCTGGAAGACCTGAGAGCCACAGTTTGACCTTGAACTGAGCCTCCCAGTTCCTTCAGGGTCCTGCCTCTGCAGTAGCCTGAGAAGCAGGTGTACTGGCAAGGAAACCAGAGTATCCTTGGAAATTTGCCTGGTTTCCTTCTGGAGATTCAACAAAATCAACTTGTTCTATTGTAATGCCTCCAGCCAATTTGCCTGCCTGACTGTGTCTCATTGAGGCATGTGAAGCATGATTATGGCTTCAGGTTTGACAGGTCTAAGGCTTGTCCTGCACAGCTCCCAGGCAAACACTAGAATCATCATTATGTTTCCCTATTCCAGTTAGATGAAGGCATTTTGCTGAGTAAATTTGATCCCATGAGCAAGGCCTTTCTTGATAGTACTTTCTCTAATGATCAAGTGCACCATAGAAAGGCTGGGGATTGTCTTCTCTGAGCTCTGGAGGAAAAAAGCCAGGCAAAGCATGAGTTGACATTGTGTGTGCTAGAGCCACCTCCATTCAAACCAGTTACTGAAAGAGCAGATAGCAGGAGTGAGGAACAGAAGACATGCCTACAACCAGGACTCCCAGTCTATCTCCAAGGTCCTTCCAGGTGCCTGGGCTCTTCTGAAAGCAAGGTGGGTTTGAGACTAGGCAGGAGCTGAGAACAGAGGGACGGTGCAAGGCAGGATTTCTACACCATCACCCATAGGGCCCTGGCCTTCCTCATCTCTCTCAGAACCATGCTGGCCTTCTCCCACTTTCCAGAAGGAGCCCATGGGGCTTGAGTAGCCTCTTGGCACTTCCTTTTAACTGAGCTGTCCTCTCTTTGCATTTCTGCTCTCTCTCTCACTCCAGGTGACCTGCCTGGTTCTGTTGAGTTGTATGGCAGTCACACATAGGCGGTGGCTTTCAATATTCTCATTTTAGACTTAAGGTAGCTTTTGACTTACTCTTACATTTTCTGAAATTTCTAAAATGTTGAAGATCGGTAATAGGAATCCCTTACTAGCCTGCGGGAAGGGTGCAGGTCTGATTAGTGAAGCAGAGAGGGGACTCTGCTGGGCTGAATATGGTGACCCTGTTGGACAATAGAGACTGTGACCTGGCAAGGATGGGAGGAGACTGACCCCAGCTCATCCCAGCATGATGGCCACAGCTTCTGTGACCATGGAGGAGCTGCAGACAACTAACCCATAGGAATGAGTCTAGTCTGGATGGGGTGTTCATACCCTTGGGAGCTGCCTTCTCCCAAGCAAGAAAAGTCATCAGGAGATGACTCCTGATAATCTGATTTATTCTGGTTCTGTAATAGGGAATGAAGTGCATTATACTGTCCCCACAATGGTAACAGTGGAGACAGGGCACCCAAGCTGGTCTGGATCACTTGGGCATTTTGGTGGTGTTGAAGGGTAGCCCATCATCAGGTCGGGCCTTGCGCTCCTTCACCCACAGGGCTTTGAGCTTGTGGTAATACACCTTGCAGCTGAAGCCCTCCTTGAAGCTGCACTTGATGTGAGTCTTGAGGGCATGCAGGGTGGGGAACACGCGGCAGCATGCCACACATTTGTAGCCATTGTGAGGCAATGGCTGCCACTTCGAAGCTGTGAGGATGTCCCGGGAGGTGATGCTGTCTCGGGCTTCCCTGCCAGAACTGGTTTTCCTGCTGCTCTCATGGAGACGAGCCTTCTCCAGGGAGCATGAGGAGGAGGAGATGCTCTCTGAGAGGTCCTCAGATTGGTCAGTGTCCCAGTCACTGTCTGCCAGTGCACCTGGAAAGCTGCAGGCTCCCAGCTGGCCTGTTTTGTCCATGTCCACTAAGTAGCTGTATGGGGAAAACCAGGGCCAGTAGATGATGCAGTTACGCCCTGGTGACTCATTGCTGTGGACTTTGGTGAGGACACAAGCTACCAAGAAAAGAAGGGGCTGAAATGAATCTTCAGGGCCTGTGACCTTTGCCACAGCCAGCCTTTGTACAAAATCTGCCACAGCCTCCAGTAGCATTGGGAGTAATGCTCACCTGCTGGGAAGGAAATCTCAGAGCAGGATGACTCATGGGCTTCTCCCTCTCCTGCCAACATAGCCATTCAGGGCACCAAGACCCAGCCCTGCTCTGAGGAACTGGGCTGTTTTACAAAGCGCCCATTCTACCTTGGCCTAACCTTTTTCCTCCTCCATGAAAGGGCCCCTACTGGCTGTGGATGCTCTCATACCCTGCAGCCATCTCTGTCACATGTGGAAATGGCCAGCTTCCCTGTCTGGGCTGTGTCTGCTCCCTCAGTCCAACTTCACCCCCCAAGGATGGACATCCCCTGCCACAGGTACTCTGCAAGGCACATGCAGCGGGTTTGAGTGACGGGGCAGGCAGGCCTAGGGACATGGCTGTGGGAGGTTATGCACACACAGGACCTCACCGGGTGATGCTGCGACTGCCTGACAATGCTCCACTGGCATAGGAGCAGTGAGACGTGTCCTGGACCAGGCCCCTCAGTGGCAGCAGAAGCTTGTTGAATCCCTGCTGTGAATCCCCAGAGAAACGATGATGGTGGGGCAGGCAGGGCTTTAGCCTCTTACTAACTCCAGCTAAGGTGCAGGCCCCAGACATGCCATAAAGCTGACTTTGCCTAGCACAATAGGTTACAGGCCTTTGAAGGCTGCCCTGTGCCCCTTGTCCAGCCCTAGATCTGGCAGGTGCTATGCGAGAGTCCCCTGTGAAGTGGGAGAGACTGCGGAGGCCTTTCTGGGGCCCCGTGGCCAAGGATCAGGGGGTGAGCCCCCTGAGGTACGGGAAGCCTGAGCTTGGGTGTTTGTGCAGATGAGGGTGGTCCTGTGGGCTGTCTGGCCCAGGCCACAGTGCTGGTCATCCACTGTGCTAAGGAGTTCTGTCCCAGAGAGAGAATCCTATAGGGCAAAGCCTCCAGGGCCTTCTCCATAATCCCTGTTTTATAGGTGGAGGATGTAAGACTGCAAAAGGTCAGTGACTTGCCCGTGGTGGAAATAAGACACTGGTTTCCTGACTAACAGCCTCCTCCAGACATGGAGGAGCTGTGATCCAAGAGAACACAGAGAGGGGGAAGGAATGGAAATTTTGCTGACTGCTACCTTTGCTACTGACTCACTGTGAGACACTGGGCAAGTCACTTAGACCTCAACTTTTCAAAGGTGGTTTTGAGCATCCAAGTTTGGAAAGCTGAGACCCAATTTCCAAAAGTGCTAGGTGCTTCTTGTTCCCATTGATCTTAGTGAAAGCTGGAGATGGTCAGTATCTTTGAAAAATCTGGCTCAAGGGCTCTGGAGTAAAGCACAGGAAATCAATGCTCTTAGGAAAATACTGATCTGCTTTTGCCTCAGTCTCCCCATTTGGGCTATGGGGATACAGCTCTACCCTGATCTCACTGGGCATTTCTAGGCTGCTCTTCCTCCCTAGAAGACTTGGGGGAGTGCTGGAGAAGTGTTGAGCCATCCATTAAACTCATGCTAGCCTATGGCAGCTGCTGGGTCTTGCTGTCCCTAGGCAAGCTCCTCCTGGCCTTGTGGCACTCTCCCCATGAGCAGTTGCAGAACCTGTTACTGTCATGGACTGTAGTACTGACCCTCCCAGGCTGCTTTGGGGCCTGTGGGTCTGATGATGCCTTAAATCACACTAAACATGTTAACCTCCACCTGACCTCCTCTTCCATGGCAATGGACACAGGACACCATGCTGTGCAGTTACCTGGCAGGCTGGAGGTGCCCTTGAGGGATGGCAGATCAGGAGTGCTCTTCATAGTGCAGCTGGGTAGACATGGTCCAGAAATTGTGAGCAGGGAGAAGTTCTCCATTGTCCTCTCAAGGGTAGTGCATGGAGCAAGCTCTTCTCCTGGATGAGAGTTCCTGAGGTGGTGGAAAGCATCTGGGTGGATTGCTGATGTCCTTGATATTGTGACATCACCAGCTGACATCACAAATGGCAGCTCCGTCAGCATTAGAATGGGCATCAATTTGATGCCTGTGGCAGGAGCAAAAGTATTGTGGATCACTCACCTGGGGCCTTAGTGCTTACTTAAATGAGTCCAGATTTTGCAGCAGGTGCTCCAGGCCTGTGGAGGTCAGGTAAGATTCCCTCAGCAGACAGTGTGTTTTCTGTGCTCAGACATATTGTGGTGTAAGGGGAACATTGCACAGTCCCAGGTATTAGCAATGAGTGTGTCTGGAGAAGGGAGCGGGGACGAGATTGCTCCCATGTTATGGCATACACAGTGACTGTCCTGTGTGGGGAAGGCAGTGTTCTGTGGTTCATTGTGACACGCTGCCAGCATCCTGCAGCCTGGCCTTGTCTCTAAAGCAGTCTATGGGGTATTGTCTTTGTCTTGGAATATGCTTGGAGGTAAGAGTACTTTCCATGGCTTGGTCATATGTCAGGTCATGGAGAAAGTTGCCAGTGGAGGAACATCTGGAGGACTAAGCAGATGGTCCCACAGGCAAAGCAGCTCATTGTCCCACCCACACAGTGCTCCTACATTCAGGTTCATCCTTGCACATGTACCTGGGTCACGCACAGATAGCCTCGTGTCATTAGCCTCTACAGGGAGTTCACAAATGGGATGCAAAGTCCATATTTCGGGCCCCTAAATAAGCCACCAGGCTTAGCAAACACCGAGTACCCAGAACCTCCCTCTGGAGTCAGGGCCTGACTTTTTGATGCCCATTTCTGCAAATCTGGCTCAGCACCTCCAAGGCTTTGTGGTTAGCAGGAACAGTCAAACCAACTTTAAGACCTGGCCTTCCATACCTGCTGTTCCACAGCCACAGGTATCTTCACCTACACTCCACACTGTTGACAAAGCTCTTTCTGACTTAGCCCTGTAAGGCTCCATCAACCTCTCAGCACTTTCGTCAACCCGAGTTGTTGCCCATATACAACAAGACTGTAAAGTCCTTATCATAGAAGCTCTTAGCTCTCCTCTCTGTCTAAGCCAGTGGTTCTCAACCTTTTTAGACTCAAGGTGCCCCTTGCCAGACTCAAGGTACCTCTCCATAATTTTTGTGAATTGAGCAGTACCTCATTTTATAAACTAATTTATTTTTTACAGGATTTACTTCCTTTCAGGGGTGCAAGCAGTGGGGTGGGGAAGTAGCTAGGCAAAGAGCCTGAACCTGCACTTATCTGCTTATCTCTGTGGCACCCTTCAAAGGATCTCACAGCACCCCAGGGTGCCCTGGCACCCTGGTTAAGATTAATTGGTCTCAGCCTTGGCCTAACCCTGGTGCCAAATCATTTAGGTCACCAGTAGGCAACTTTTTCTGGCTGTGGGCCAAAATGACCCACCTTGGGTCAGTGAAGGGTGGGCAGGTGCTCTGACCCATCTGCAGCCAGCGCTTCTTTCTGTGGCAGTACAGGAAGAGCACACCCAGCTGAAGTCTCTTGTTGTTGAATGCCACTGAAATCCCAGTGGCTCCGTGGGCTGGATCCAGCCTGCAGGCTGCAGGTTGCCAGCCCCTAATTTAGATCATTCAATGGTAACTGTCAATGTGAAACAGATCTCTGTTCTGGAGTTATTTAAGTGTTATGGGTTTGCAGGGCTGTCTCCATCCTTGGAAGTCTCAGAGCATGTTCTGTCAGGGCCAAAGAGACATATACAGCATGTCTCTGAAGTGCCTTTATCTCTGAGAGATGCAGGCTGAATACCTGGGGTTCTAACTGAGCTCTATCACCTTTGATTAACTCTAGTTTCTCAGCTGCACAATGACAGTCCTCAAAGGAAGGTGGAAAGGTGCCTTGCTAGCAACTATAGTTCCTTGAGTAGCTTATCCATACAGCTCCTCATCCCAGTTTGTTCTCTGAGTTAGTGTTTATGGGGGAAGGAGCAGGAGATCGACTGCCACCCCCATACAGGCCTAAAACATGGTTTCTATCTTTACCAGCCAAAACAGTCTGACCCAGGACGTGGGGTTGAACACTGCAGGCCAACCCCAGAGCGCAGAGCATTCTGATTGGGAACCTGGGGGTCACAGCTTTTCAAAGGTGGGAGGGAGGCTTTCTAGTGAGGCAGCTGGCAGAGCTGCAGGTATGGCACTGGGTCTTTCCCAGCCTGGCTGTGTTTGATAATGGGATGAGGAGAGGAGTCTTAGGAATGGGGGAGCTGCATCAGCAGCCCTGTGGCTGGTGACATGGCTGTGTGGAGCTGTGTAGATAAATATTTAAAAGTTCTTGCCAAGTAACTCCGAAAGCAGCAGTGGCACTTCAAGGATTGCTTGGCCTCCTCTACGAATGGAAAATGTTTGAATGAAGCTGTTGGCAGGGGTGATGCTGGTGACAGCCATGGAGAAAATAAAGGAAATCTGATGCTTGCTCTGTAGTCCTTTCTCTCTAAGGCAGCCTCACAGTGAGGGAGCCTGGGAAAGGAAGAGCCAGAGAGTAGTTGCCAATCGTAGGTCTTTGTCAGGCTGCCCTCAAGCCAGTTGCAACATAAAGATCTGGTCCCTGCATCTGCTGATCTCTACCAAATAGCAATGTAAGACATCTTTCAACCACTCTCTGCCGGAGCTGAGTGCGTGATGGATTCTGTAGCTAATTCCCAGAGATGCTCTGCCCCTCCACTACTGGCTCATCTCCATGTGGAAGTTGCTGGTGTAGCATGAATTCGTGCCAACGTGACCAGCTATGGGCAGAGGTTTTGATTTCAACCAAGCTCTCTTGGGGGTAGAGGAATGCAAGGGGCCTCTGAGGTTATCAACCCTTGCTGTGATGAGCAGCTGCATCTAAGTGGCAAAGTCAATCTTGTTCACAAACACAGCCAGCTATAGGTCTCAAAGGCAATTAGGGATTTTGGCCCCCACTATTCCTATTGAGAGGCTGAGCCAGAACCTTGCTGTTCTCATGGTTAGAAACCTGCTAATTCCCATCTTAAATCTATTCAGAGACAGTTTATACCCATGTGTGCTTGTGCCAGCACTGCCTTTTAGCTTAAATAGCATTTGTCTCCTGGTTTGTTTACCCCGCTGATGTATTTATAGACAGCAATCATCTCCCCTCTCTGCCTCTCGGTTGCTAAGCTAAACCTCTAGCAATTTAGTTCAGTTCACTGTGAAGTAGTTCATACCAAGCTGAAACAAGTTGCTCCTAAACCCAAATTACGGTATTTACATGGGGCCTTGCACTGGTTTCAGTCACAGCTTAAATGAAACTGGTGTGGCTTGCTCAGGTGGGCTTGGCTTTTGGCCACAGCTTGTGAGAAAAGGTTTATTGTGGGTGGGCTGAGATGCTTTTGCTGAAGTGGGGCTTTGGGGAACAGAGCATTAGCTGGGGAGAAACAGTGCAGAGATCGGGCTATGGGCATCGTCACAACCACAGCCTAATGCCTCACAGCACCCTGGACTGTAGGAAGCATGCTGGGATTGACCTTCTGGTCTCTCGCAGTGCCTGAACAGCTGGAGAGCTGAGACATGGCTGCAGGAGGCAACTCCAGGGTCCCCACAGATTGGCCATACTGCAGATATATTCCTTCACTCCTGAAAACAGCTGGGCTCCCCAGGCTGCTTGTGTGTGAGGTCCCAGGCAGCAATGTCAGTGGTGCACACGGCTGGGGTTGGCTTGGGGTGAGCAGCTCAGGGTCCCATGGGGGTTTGTCACTGGGGAAGCCCATGAGGGGAGAAAAAGGACCTCCACCCCATGTTTGCAGCTGTCTACCCTGCAAATCATCTTTCTCTCTCTTTCTCCTGTTTGTTTATTTGCAATCTGCTTTCCGAGCCCTTTCTGGTGTCAGGTAAGAGATGCGTCCTGCACCTGTTTTTCTGTGCCAGAGTGAGCGTGGATTTCTCCTCTGCTTTCACCCTTCCCTCTTCCCCCTGATCTTGCCAGACCCTCTGCGGGTCCTGTTCCCGGGGGTCCCAAGCTAGGGGCTGCCTGCATGCATTGCTCTCCTGCTGCCCCCTGGTGGGCCTGCTCTGTTTGACAGCCCATTCTCCGTCTGCAATGACCGGGTCACTGAGGCTGCTTCTCTGCCCTCTGCTCCTACAGCACCTCTCAGAGGAGGCTGTAGAGGTTTACTAGTGGTTTGCATACACTGCTAGCATGGGTGCAGGGCTGGCACAGGGAGGCTGAGCCTATTGGGGGCTCCTGTGAGGCAGCTTAGCCTGAACACCTCCAAGAGGGTTAACGGAGGGTGTGAGCGAGAGCAGCTGGTAGCTGGCAAGTCTGGGGAATGGAAGGGCTGCCCTGGTCTGTTGGTTTTCGTGTGTGTGCCTGAATGTCACAGGCAGGGAGGCTGTCTGGCAGGGATGGGCCCAAAGACAGCCATTTTGCATGGGGACAGACCGGAAGCCCCAGGAGGGTCTTTGTCCTTAACCCTGGGCTCTGGGGAGCCTTCTCAGTCCTGGCCTTGCCCCAAGTGCCCTGTTCAAAAGAGAAGCCTGGCAGTGGTTGGAGGGAGCTGTATCGGTGCTGCCCTGTCCCCGAGGTATCTGTCTTTCAGCTGCCCGATCCAAGCTGGCCTTCTTTGCTCAGGCAGACCTGAGATTCAGGTACAGACCCAGCACAGGGCTTACAGAGGTGAAACTACTGCTAAAGAGAGTGTCATCCATCAGGTTCTGGAGCACTCTCCTCCTCTGGCCCTGCGAGCCCTTTTCTCAGGGCAGGAAGTAGCCTTGATCCCATTCAGCAGATACCAAAAAGGAAACACGGTACTTTTGTTCAGGCCTGTACTCTCACCCAGCCAGGGCTCCAGCTCCTCCCAGTACTCCTGCCCAGCTAGTGCTCCCTCTTGGGTGCGTTGGCCTGTGCTGGATGACCCAGTCTAATGCTTCCACTCAACCCAGTGGCCCTGCTCAACCCAGTGGCCCCACTCATACCACTGCCTCTGCTCTTCTCTTCCAGTTGACCAAAGCATGTTTGAGAATTCCAATACTGCCCCCACACCAAAGCTGCAGCACAGCAGGTCCATCTCCAAAGTGTCTCCCATGCCTCAGCCAGCCCAACCTGCAGCTGCCGAGCCCAGCGGGGCCGGACTGCGAGTGGGAGGGAGCCAGCACCTCAGGAACCTGAGCAAGGCCGTGGGGGCGAAGGTGAATGACTTCCTCCGCAGAAAGGAGCCTACCAGCTTTGGAGACGTGGGCATGACAAAGATCAATGCCAACGTGGGGGCCGTGCTAGCTGGTGGGACGCATGCCCAGCTGGAGGACCAGGTTCACGAGGAAGGGTAAGTTTCCCCTGCGGGTGTTGCAGTCCTTGTGTCTACTGACCCTCAAAGGCCATGGTGAATGATGTTACTACAGGGCTATGCTATACAGCCACCATGCCAGGGAACAGCCATCACTTCAGTTGGCCTGTAATGCACTGCACCATTTCCCACCTGCCCAAGCCCTCTCCCGCTCCCCAGCCTTGTCTGCACATAGGAACACTCAGGAAAAAATTAATCTGGATTAACTCCAGGTATGAATTGTAAGTGAAATAATTATTAAACTACATAAAATCCCTTTTGTAGATTCGTTTATTCTTAATTACTAGTAAATTTGGCCTGGAAGTGAAGTAAATGCCTGTAGACCCTTGTTTGTCTGATCCCCGTTTATATGACCACTCCAATTAGAGGAATTCCCAGCCTGCTGATGAGGAATACAAGAAAGCAAATGGCCACAGATTGTGCAGTGCCCAAGTATATGCAGGTAGATCTGAATCCTTTCCTGTGCTAGGTTGTGTAACAATGTAGTTATAATGTTGCTGGACTGTGGTGCGGTGGTTTTATTTCTTTTTTTCCCTTTGACCTTTTGGTGCTATTCTTTATTCCAGATGTCTCATGTACATGAACATTCCATGTAGATGAACAGGGGAGGGTTTCTTGCAGTCTGGTTGAGCAAGGGTCTCCTGCAACTGATTTACATCAGTAATTCTCAACCTTTTTAGATGTAAGACACGCCTTGGAAAATGCCAGCTCTTAGCTTTCAATTGTTTTTTAGACTGTATAAAAATAATAGGACAATTCTTCTGTTGCAAAAAACAGAGAGACCACAAACAGGTCTGAATGTTTTTGGCATCCTGGATTTGTATTTGAAATCTCTGGGTTTATTTTGTGAATCATGTGTCGGTGTTTGTACACCTAACAGTGCTAATATTGCACAGAACCCATAAAAGGATCTCATGGCACCCCAGTGCACTGCAGCACCCCAGTTGAAAAATCACTGATTTAAGACCACTTCCATTTGGAATTGTAGGGTATGTCTACCACCATGACATGGCCTGGCTGGATTGTTTCTAAGCCCACCCAGCCCATCCATTCCTGCACACATTTCAAACACAGGAATACAATCCCTGCAGCTGCTAATAAGCACAGTATGTATTTCTGGGTTTAGAGCATTTGAAAGGGGGTAGGTGCAATCAGTCGTGTCCTGGCTAAGGCATGCTGCCACCACAGTGTAAACATACCCCATGTCCACACACTTTTTAATGCAGTTTAGCTAATCCACTTTAAAAGTTAATTCAGCTGAGCTTTCCTAAGAGTTCCCATGTAAACTAGCTCAATGTTCCACTCCTCCTCACCCTGCATTTCACCGCTATGTCCCAGGTGTCTGCCCTCTCCTGCTTCAGCTTCTTCTGGCCCCATCTGCCCAGCTGCTCCACCTGCTAGAGTAGTTAAGGCTACAGAAAGACTGCCAGGGAGTGCTTCTGCTGCAAGCTGCCCAGGCATGGTTAGTGCCCAGCTCAGCAGAGATTTCCTGGAGGGCCATGCTCAGGGACAGTGCCTCAACACATAGCAGGATGCATTGAATCAGGGAAGAAATGTCCCTTAAGAACGGGAACTGCAAGTATGTTGCTCCAAGCACAGCACATGGCTGAAACTCTCTGAGGACAGGTACAAGTCCTCTCTCTTGGCCTCATCTTTAGACTGAGACTGCTGCAAGAGTTGTTTCTACCTTGGTACTCAGCACCATCACTCTGTGCAGTCTGTGACAAAGCTGTGAAACAGGGCAGTGTTGTTCTCCCTCCCAGCTTGAGGGGAGCTGAGACAGGCAGAGGCTGACTGACCTGCCCAAAGCTGTGCAGGGAGTCAGTGGCAAGGTAGTAAATAGAACCGCCTACCCTAAGCTGGCACCCTAACCATTGGGCAATCCTTTCCCTGTCATAGTACTTGGCTGATGAGGTGTCTTGATATTGCAGTGGGGCCACAGACTCTGTCTGTCCTCACAAGACTGTGCTGGCTCAGCCTTCAGCTGAGAGATGCAACAGTGAATGTTGTGGCTGGGACAACAGCACCTCTGCCCATCCAAATCAAGGCAGCGCCCCTTTGCAGTGTGAGTAGGGGCACTGTGCTGGGGGGGGGATGTTTGGACTTTTCAGTAAAGCATCAAGCCAAAACCCTGCCCTCATTAAATGCCCCAAAGCCCTTTCAGGATGGGGTGCCAAATTCCACTGAGAGACTGGTTTTCACTCGCCCTCTGCAGCATCACTCGGGCATCGTATTCTGCTTCGGCCCTGTCCCAAGTACCTGTCAGGTGCCACATGACAGTCCCTGATGTGCCTGCGTTTTGTTGCTGACTGATGCTTCCTTTTGGAGGGGCTCTGGGGCAAGTTGAAGTGGGAGAGATGCTCACTGATGGTTCATTGTGCTTACAGGCTTGTGCTGCTGGAAGCCTTTCCCCGCCTTGACCCACCTCCCCCCGTGACCAAGAAGCGCACTCCCCGGGCTCTCAAGACCCCCCAGGACATGCTTATCTCCTCCCAGCCAGTTGTGAGCAGCCTGGATGGCACTGTGAAAGCAGCATCTGAGCAAAGCCAAGAGTATCTCGACCAAGCAGCCCACGTGGAGGAGTGGAAGGTGGCATGGGATGTGCCTCAGCCAGAGGGCAATGCTGAGCAGAGCGACCCTGGCAGAGTAGTGCAAAATGGGGATGAGCCCAACCACAATGGCTCCTTCCCTGTGCCTGATCTCATCTACAAGGATAACCTGGAGGGCAAGTTGAAGGCTGCTGACAAAATAGCAGCCTCTCCTCCCTGCCCAGAGAAACCTTCCCTCAGACTTAGCCTCGCTCCTGCCAACCACCTGCATGAGTACCAGCCCCACGAGGACAACGGCCAGCCTGAGGCACAGACCTCTGGCCTGGAAAATGAGGGACCCCACCCAGACCTTCTGTCCTTTGAGTAGCTGCCCTAGGGTCTGAGGGAAGCATGCGGACTATCCTCAGGGGGGCAGCTCAGTAGAACTGGCAGGAGCATACTGCCCACTCTGTGGAGGGGAACCCGGGCAGCATGGAAGGACCAGGGCACTATGCAGGCCTGGACCCACTACTTATCTCTTTTGGCACTAGTGGATCCTACATGGAGCAGAAGGAAAGACAGGAGGCCAGGGGCAGCCATTGTGCCACTTCCTGCCTTGTGCAGTGCAACCTGCAGGCACCCTCATCTTCAATATGGAGGCTTAGCTCTTGGACACCACAGGTCCCAGTGTGGCACTGTCTTTTGCACAATGTGATAAGCAATTTCTGTGGACTTTAGCTCCAGGCCAAAGATGAAGCTGCCTGCAAGCTGCTGCACTGCACAGTGAGGGGCTGCCATTGTGTCCTGGCCAGTGTGATTCCTAGTTAGACATCTTTTGTGCCAGCATCAATGATGTTCCCTACAGAGATGTGGCGGGGGTTGGGGGCACTCCTTTAATCCTTAGCACAAGACAAAAGCTGCCCTAGTAGCACCTAGCCAGGGAGTCTGAATGCTCCCAGAAAGAGACACATGTAGAGAGAGATTTTTGGATGATTGAATTTTCAGGGTAGAGAGGAGAGCTGGTGGCTGGGTCTGCTGCATATCTGTACCTCAGAGGAGCCAGGAGAGAGGGTTAAATAATGTAGTGGAGGGGACAGAGGTCTAGTCATTAGAAACTACTGGTACTAGTGCTTGAACATCTTATGCTCTGTTTCCATCTATGCCACCGATTCCTTCTATGACCTTGGCCCTGCTCCCTGTTTTATAATGTACATCACCTGGCTGGGGTGTGCTGGGACTAAATTCTTCCGTGCCTGTACAGTCCTGGACATTGTGAAGCATTCCAGGTGTGCTACATCTGTTGATTATGGCCTCAGTCTCCATTGTTGTAGCTCTGTCACTGCTGTTGGTTTCCTAATGTAATTTTCTCTGCAGGGTGGCTGCGTGTAGTAGGATAATCTCAATCCATGCCTTGGTGAAACTCTAGATTGTCCCTTCACACCTTTTGTCACCCTTCCCTGCCATGCAACCTCCTGTCCTGAAGCCTGCCTTTTGTCAGGCTAAAGCTAGACTTGGGCCCCATGTTTAGGATAAGTCATCACTGCAGAGTTAACTTGGGTCATCCGCACCCAGGGACAAGCACCCAGTTGGCTATGTTCCAAAAGTGACCAGCCACCCTACTCCATTCCTGTGTCTTCCCTGGTGCCACACTCACCTGGCTATCTCGCTAGGACCTGCTGCCACACTTGGCTATCTCTCTGGGACTGATTGGGACATATCCCATGGTCCTTTGCCACGCAGGAAACCAAGTCATTCTGTGATTCTTTCCTAGTGGGTTTGGTCAGACAGAGAAATGTGGGAAGTCCTTGAAGGGCACCAGTGATTCAGCATGGTGTCCTCACTGCAAAACCAAAGGGGAGGTGGTGAGGGGTGGGGGGATACTAGGTGCAGAGAAAGTGGAGTGGGAGCTGTAACCCAGGCTCCCAGACCAGGCCAGCTCTGGAACTACTTTACATTTCGGGGAGAGCCTTCACCTAAGCTTATTCTGCAGTAAGGACATTGCCTTTGGAGTTTCAAGTAGTAGACATGATTGTGAGAGATAGTATCTATGCAGCAATTCTGCTTGTCTCATTTCAGAGCCAGCTAAGCAGGGCTCTGCATCCTGCTTTCTGAGAACAGGCATGGAGGAGGAGGAGGCTGAGGAGCAGGTTCACTGCAAGGACAGTGCAGCACTGTCTGGCTTTCATTCTCATTGTACTGATGGAAGGGGCTCCTGAAATGCTGTGGATTCAGGCCTCATTTCTTAGTTCACCTCTTACTCCACTGATGAGCTGGTGGGGTGAACTTGTGCAGTTGTTCCGGCCCTGGCCCAGTCCTGATGGGGTGGTTGGATGCTAATGTATATGACTTCCCCTCCTGGGACATCCCACGGCCTCAGAACAGAGGTTCTGGAAGACATTGGTTTAATTTTATTCCAGGCCTAATGCACTGTGATTCCCTCTGTTTTGTCCCTGGGTCTCCACTCCCCTGGGTTGGAAAGTCACCTGCAAAAAATATCAAGAGGCAAAACCCCAATCTCAGATTCTTAGCTGGTGAGAATTGGTACAACTCCATTGTCCTTCGGAAGGGCCACACTGATTGCACCTGGCTGCAGCGAGAGCTGTGGCCAAACCAGTGGACGTTTCTCCTCACCACCTCACTTAGAGATGCTCCTTGCAGTAAAGCCTTCCTGTCCAGGCCCATTGAAATGTCTGTGTCCACTGCTGAGCTGATAGGATGCGGGCAATGACACCAATGAAGTTAACTATTTTGCACCATCCAAACCCACCTCATAGTCCTACCAATGTATGGAGGCCACAGCTGTCAACAGTACCATTTGGACTCTGCATTAACATATGAGGTGGATGTGAGAATATTCCTGTGCCTTGAATTCCCTTGTAAAGGGACCACCCGAGAATGAATCATGCCTCTGAAAGTTGTTTTGAGTCCAGTGAATGCTGATCTGTGCCATAGGATCCTGGATACAAAATGGCCATGTATATGTGTGTATATTCTGTATATGTCCAATGCTATCACACAAATAGAAATTATATATATATATATACACATACACTGCCTATATAAAACTATGTATGATGTATGCTAATCAGAAAACAGGAGCATGTGTAATCTCCCCCTTTAGTGAAGCAGAGTGTTTCAGGGCACCAACATTTTGAAAAACAGTGATCCTAATGTGTGCCAAAAGCCTCTATTTATATTAGTTAGGTTGGATACAGAGCTCAGAATGAACCACGCTGATTGCACAATAAAGATCCTTTACGTGTGTTGCAAGGTGGGATTCTCTACAGAAATGGCGCTTGTTACCTATGCATAACATTGTTCCGCGGCGTAGGGCCTGTATGAAAGGGCCACAGGCTGTCATCTGTGAAAGCTCATGATTTGCTTTGCTGAGCTGAACCATTTGGTCTCTAAGGTGCCACCCTGCCCTGGAGGACTCTGTGCAACCCCCAGGCTGGTGGGGATCGTAGAGAGCAATGGCTCTCAAGGCACCCCTCCAAAAACACCGACTAATGGTTTTCGCTCGTTTTTTGTCTACTGAAAAATACTGGAGGAATTCTTCCGTGGCAGCGAGCCGGGAGACCGCAGCAGGGGCGAATACTTTTAGCACAACATATTTCTGCTGGAGATCTCTGCGTTTATTTTATGAATCACGTTTTTATGCAGCGCGAATAGCGCGTGGCACCCCGCACCACCCTCACGAGGATGTCGGGGCACCCCGGGGTGCCGCAGCCCCCTGCTTGAGACACGGCGGGTTTATAGCGGGGCGCAGCGGAGGGCGGGGCTGTGGGCGAGGGGCGGCCGTGGAGGGCAGACACCCCGCCGGGGCTGCAGGCAAGGGGCGCACGAAGAGGGAAGTCCCCTCCCCGGAGCCCTGCGCTCGCTTCAGGCGCGGTCCGCGGCGGGGCAGCGCCGCTCGGGGGAGCCTGCTGCAGCGCGGGTCGGCGCGGCTGCGCGCGGGTAGGAGAGAGCCAGGGGCCGTCCTCTTCCCCGCGGGCCCGGCCTGCAGTAGCAGCAGCGG